GCTCTGTGGATTAAACAAACGCCTACAGTCAATCTATCTAGGCTGTTTCACAGACTTTATCTTAAGACTAATTTATTATAAACTTGTGTACAAATTGATTTTAAGAGTAAAAATGCCATTATTTATTTCACTGATCATTCCTCTTCATTTTTTGTCTGCTTCAGACAAGGTTGAAACACAGTCTCTTTGTATTGCTTGCGTTTGTGAATAAGTTACCACTTTGTTTATCCATCCATGCATACATATATGCTATTTCACATCTCAGGATTACAACTTTGGACACTGAATATTCCAAGCTGACTTCACAATATTTAGAAAAAAAAGAAGAAGAAGAAACCATTTGACAATGAATAAAATACCTCTAGCACTTTTGTAATACGTGAGAAACAGTTTACATTTGACTGATGTGCGGCATCATTATTATTAGTAGTATTATAGTAATATAATATAAGGAACTAGTTCACGTAGTACAGAAGTGGAGAATAAAAGTATGAAAACAGTTACAAACAGTTGAAACAAAAAGAAAATGTAGAATAAGGATAATTAATAGTTTTGTGTTTTGACAATACACTCAAAATACTGTATAAATTCCTCTAAATCTATTTCAGTATGTACAAGCATTCATTCAATAACAACTAGGGGTTTTTAGGAGTTAATTTAATGGGATATGATTTGTTTCGAGTATAATCACGGATTGATACCACCTGTAGAACCACTGAAAACCAAGATGTATTGTTCTGATGTTTCGTCCCAATTTTACACTCCTCATCAGTACGCCTCCACTAGGAGCCGAATCCACGGCCGTTTGGTTTCAAGGCATGCTCTTAGACCATTCAACCACTGGGAATCTGTTCAGTGACCCATGAATTCTAACTTCTACCAGTTCGTGATGTTAGTGCGACCACCAAATCAATGTTACTGGGGTGTATTTGTCCTCACGCCTGACCTGATGGACTGCACAGGACATGACTTCTCACTAGTACTACAGGCAATTTCATCGTATATTCAGTCACTAACAAGCATCAGGTTAATTTTCAGGAGCCAATTCGTAGGAATTCGATTTGTCTCGAACCCTAGTGGGTGCGTACTACTGAAAAGTCAAAGACTATGAGGAAACGGCTGTCCAACACTCTTTGGTTTTCATTATTTCTCCAACTGACACCAGTCCATCATCAGACTTGAGACCGGTGGCTTGATAGCTTTTTTATTTGCTGATACATAATCTTATGCAGCTCTACTCAGAAGTTATCTATCACTTCATGTCTAACAACACAAGGTCTTTCTGAACTTTACTTTTAACGTTAAATATTTAAATGTTATTCGATTGATAACGGCTATCAGAGGAATTCAGTATGCGCACTTCGTCCTATTTGGGACTTATCATCTGGATGCGTCTACGTTACCGAGACTCAAACCCATCCCCGATTATTTCAAGCTCGAAAGAGTTATCCACTTAACCAGAGAACCACGAAAGGCACCACCTGTACAAAGGACATCAGATTTTATTTTTTACCCTAACCTATTTTCCCTATTGATTAACGATAGTGCTTGGTGTCTTTTGCCATTTCAACTACAACTGCACCACCTAAGCTGTTGAGAAGATATCCAATCACCTAATTAGGGTTGAAAATAATAAGATGAAAGGGGATTCATGCTCATGAACTGTAGATATTTTCGAATACCCTAAGTAACTAACGACCGCTATCCTCGTGGCAGTGACGATGTTCCTTGAGTCAGATGGTTGTACAATTCATCACATTGGTCCTCTGTGAGACGTGTAGCAGATATCTACTAACCGTCTGCCTCACTCTGTATGTTAAAGAAGTTAAGGTTAAATTGGCATGAGATTTCAATGATACATGAAGCACTCAACTCTTAATAACAGATGTGTGTATGAAATTTTAGGTTGTCCTATCAATATCTACAGGATTGCATAAATCTGTGTCAGTGTACATTTTAGGTGAATAAATGCATTCAGCATTCTTTATTAATTTTACTTCTATTTTATAATAATACGCATAGTTATTTGTATAACTTACCTGGACGTCGGTGACACATGGTTAGGGCTCTCGCCGACCATAAACATGGTCCCAGGTTCTGTCCCCTGCCGACGCACACCTGATTTCTATGGTCGACCTGCAAAATTTGGGCTACCGATATCCATGCTGAAAATTCCATACTTGTACCAAAAATACAGTGTGGAATCAAGCTGTAAATAAAAAAAAAATAAAATAAATAAAAATAAACTTTAAGCATCACTAACTAGCAATGGAGTGCGGCCGCATCAATGAAATTGAAACGCTCATTGAGCAAGTTAGTGAAACCTGGCAAATAATGTTGTTATCACCGATAAAATATGCTAATCGAAGTGTTATTTTATTCAATGGGATATCTGACAAGTTTCAGCTTAGATTTGGGAAAGATTAAGTTGCTGTTTAGGCCAAGGACGCGTTAGGGTTAGGTTAACCTATTAAGGGCGACATTAGCGTTGGTTCAAGTTAAATTAGGCTTAGTTTAGGCATATTTTCACTTAAGGCCTAGGTTTAGGAAAGATTAGTGTTACTGTTAGGGCTAGAAAAAATAAATCAAAATTTGTAGAGAATGTGATTATGTTGCTTTGTTGATATAAGAATAGAACTTGTGCACTGTGGTAGAGTATAATTCCATTGTGGGTAAAATATATTTTGATTAATTCTCACAATAGTATACAGTAAAATTTACTGATGACGCTTCAAGCACAGTTTATTGCCCATTAAATATTACTGTATAACACTGTGAGACTTTATTAAAATAAATTTTACGCGCAATGGGTTTATACTCTGTCGATCCTCTAATCCAAAACTGAGAGCTATTTTTATCCTCTGTAACACTTTTATACGGTTTTTATACTTCTTTTTCATAGATCTATATATTCCATACACAAAAATGCCTCCTCCGTGTGACTGGTGCGTACGAGGTCATTCGCTGACTGGCTGTTATTGGTGCCTAAAGTTTAACTTTGCCCTTACCTGACTTGTCAATGGATTACTACAAAGTGATGTAATGTTAGGTCTTTATACTATCTGTCATGCACTAGACAATACAAAAGCAATACCTGTCTGAACTTTTCACAAATTCATATAACTGTGTTGACTTTCGAGTCACATTAAATGGTTCAGTCGTATAGCCTCGGAAGTGTTAACTGTGTCGAATCCGTAATGCTACTATTTCATAATTTAATGTTTTTATGCTTTAACATAGACTGTTCTATCTATCAACATTCCTTCCTGTTATTTGTATTCAAGAGAGAATCACAATTTGATGCTGTTTTTCAAAACTGCAAATAACATCTGTTTGTAACAGTATTCACTTTTAATGAGACGTATATATCAAAAATGAATATTGAATTTGTATCTCAGTAGCATTATTATTCATTTCGTGTATCCTGAATGAAAAACACAGCTTTATCCCCACATCTTCATCCTACTCGCTGTTGTCAAATCACTATCAGTTAACTCCACTCCACAACTGTCTACCAGCCTTTATATTCTACTCGCACACTGATATAAACGTCAGTACAACTTGTTTGTTGTCGAGTCCCTTAAGCTAATGAAATTTCCTACCTAGAAGATTTGTGGGTCTACTGTTGTGATCACTATTCATGGCATGGTACTACCGATAATTGACGCAAGAAAGAAAGAAGAAAGACCGTTACCAAGAGAACTTTTACCGTGTCGAATCAACAATGGAAAGGACTGACAAGAATTCCGTATATACAAGTTTTAAATGACCTCAGTAGAAAATAATTTCTTTGATTGAACTTAAGTTATTAACTAGTGTAATGTTTCCAGTCCTTGAATCTCAGAAGAGACATGAAATCCTTCAAGTTTGCAGGTACGCTTTGCTGATGGGTGCCAACTAGCCTGAAACTTAGGTCCCAGGCTTCCTGTCAACTGTATTCAACCATCTAATAGACACTAGTTTCATTGATAAGTTAAAAAGAATTAACAGCCAATAGAGTTCAGGCGTCATGACGGGGGGAGGGAAATACAAACATTGTGTTACTGCAAATAAATGTAATGCAATGGAAACCGATACAATGCCACTAAACAAGTTTCTTTTTCTTCTTTTTCAGAAAGAAACGGTGATGTGGCATCACTGGAGCAAGAGGAAGACCGGTTATCCAAACTTGTTATAAATGATGATAACTAACTTGTACCCGGGTAATTCGAGTCTGGCTTGCTTGAAATAAACGCTTCCTCCTCACCGTCTTTGCCTTCTTCTTCACCCGTCGTGCTTGTGGTCTGTGTGCGTTATATAAAAGTTGTAGTTCAAGGCCATCACATCCACAGCCAAACAGTTACTTCTCACTCAGCTTCCACTCGTAGATTTGCCTGATACACGATGTCATATAAATTCCCCCTCAGTGTATATCCAATTTACCTCCGCTTACTTCTGTTAGGTCAGCCATAGGCTATCCATCCAGACTTACTTATTGTTTACCTATCCTTTCATACTGGTCATCTCATCTTCACTGAAGATAGTTAACTGTTGGTGGAAGTCTAAATCCACCTGTTGCAACTGCATTTTCATAAGGCATATGCCAACTCTCTTATGCACACAGAAGAACTGACTTGACAGTTATGTCATAAATCTAAACTGTGTTTTTTGCTGTGATTACCGTAGATGTCTACACTTGTTTAAAAATGATGAGACCTTGTTTTGTTTTCCCGTTCCTGGCGTTCAAGTCACAGTTCAAATTTCACTCCTGACATCACTTAAATCCCGCCTAGGCTACTAACAGATCGTAACCCCGGAAAAATAGTAAGGCTGGGTACGGGGCCAATAAATCCATCTCATCGCTACTGAAAATTCAAAGGCAAGAATAAATTAACTTTACATCTGATAGACAAATAAAAAACAACATTATTGAAATCAACCATCTGGTGAATTATTATTTGCATAAAACACAATGTAATAAAAATAAATAAAAATCTTTTTGTTTGCTTTCTTTAACACTGTCAAATGTATTCTAATGGCAATTTATTGTTTTCACTTGCTTCGAACATGATATCATCCAAGGCATCTTCACGTTCATAATCCAACAAACCATTTCTTTGCGCTAATCTTATCCTATTTTGTATTTCTTCTTCACTTGGTTCAGGTGTTGTTGGCAGCGTTTTACGTCTCACTTTTCTTGGTAGCAATGAATTCCATGTTATCCAACGGTTTAAGCATCTGGCTAAATGGATCTTCCATGAGGCATTTGTATATCGACCACCACATATATAGCATATAACCCCCGGTGGATGGGATGGTTTCCCGGATAACTTAGCTTCATATTTCTGTCTTGCAATATCTTCATTCAATTTACGTATATAGGCTATTTTGCAGGCATCTTGATGAAATTTTAAAGATGCTGTACCGTAAAAACGTGAACAAAATTCACAGTAAACTTCTTTCTGTGTAGTAGTTGTCGTTGTTGTTACTTTTGCTGATGTTGTTCTTCTACAGGATCTGTTTCTTCTGTTCAAAGATTGATCTGAACTTTTCGATCCGTCAGTAAAATCACTTTTTGACTGTTGATTTTGGTGACAGTATGTCTCACCGTTACTAAATGGTTGTTTTATTAGGTCTTCTGTTTCATGACTATTAGAAGATAAGGTTTTTTGGTTTTTTATATAAGTGAAATTTATTTTACCGTCATCACCAAGATCAGTATTCATATCATTGATTAACTCCATATTCTTAAGTCAGCAGTATAGATTTCCTTAAAAAACTCCTCATTCTGGTTATCGTCTACAGGAATTCTATAAAAGTACGGATTTTCTCTTTTTGTTTATTCTCTGGCTTTAGTACAACAAAATAAGAGAATATGTCTTTTGGTGAATATTTTGTAAATAATCACTGGTCGACATTAATAACACTAATAATAACAATAATAATAATCAGAATAGTAATACTGCAATTGTTTTCGCACTTTAACTATGACCTCTTAAACAATATGTAAATAATAATAACTAACTGATGATGAACGGCAGTTTAATGTATATAATCAATAACCAGTATTGATTGTTTAGTGAATCAGAGATAAGAATAATTTGTAATTCTCTTAGTTAACAAATTTAGCTTTTTAGTCTGAAATTCAGTGTGTAGATCTACACACAGCACATAGTTGTTACTTCTGTGTGGCTGACAGACTTGTTGTGTGCGTCACTGAAAGCCTCTGTAACAGATGGTTTCAGACTGTTACATCAACAGCCAGCTGCCTTTTCTGATTCCATAGTTAATCTCAGATGACCTTGCAGAAAAGGTAAGCAAACGACAAAGAATTTTTATAGGCAGTGCACCAAACAAGGACCCATAGCTAGCCTGATAAATGTGCAGAAGGGAATGGATATGTGCTGAGAACTTCAAATGACGTCACAGGTCAGGCAGACCCTCTAGCGGGTGCGGAATGAGAAGTAACGAGTTGGGAGTGAGTGGGTGAATTGAAGAAGGTCGAATGAGTAAGGAATGAAAGTCCATAGGCAGTCATTGCGCCAGCTGAAAGTAATGTAAGATAAGAGACAGAAATGGAGATGTGAGGCTGAAGTTGAATGAAAGAAAGAACAGTGACGATAAATGGATTACCTAATGGCATACATGTATACCTTATTACTTAGTGAATTCTGTCAGCCAAGTGAGCAATGTAGTTGACAGTTTAGGTGAATAGACACTACGCTGAATTTTGAATAGACGTCTGATGACTGAAAGCTACCGGCAAATGGTTTTGAAACTAGATTTAACTCATCGCCAAGGCCTATCAACTATTTTGATTTACCTCTAGAGATTTGGACCTAGGTCACTTATTACCGTAGTCAAGGAAAGGTAGATTATAGTTAAACATTCAAATATAAGAAAAGCAAGAGTTGAAATGTCCCAGTGATTTGCAGCATACAGCTATTTTGACTGGACACTAGTAACTAGTATAACGTTTCTAGTCATTTCTTTGGTGCAGACATAATTTTAACAGTCAGGTTTGCAAGCTGGCCACCATTCTAGGTAACTCGCCATCACGTTGAAACATTGATTTGATGGTATTAGATGGTTGGAGGTAATCGGCAGGAAGGCTTTGACCTAGGTTTCGTGCTAGTTCACATTTATTAATTAATAAGCAACTAATAAGTAGCCTCCAAGTCTCTGAAATAAAATAACAAACTGTCATGAAACTAGTTTTCATTGTTTGGGTATGTCTTACAGTCTGAATTTTCCTAATTACCTGTATGATAACACAGTCGAAGCTACATTACAGGTAACTTAGGGGGTATGTAATAGCAGAATTGCAAACCTGACTGATAGAATTCATTCTGCACCAAACAAACAACTAGACACATCATACTAGTTACTGGTGTCCAGTCAAATCATTGAGATAAGTCAGCAACATGAAGTAAGTTCATGGAATCAAACTTTTAAGCTATGTTTGAAGAAATTATCCACTTATTATTATCATATCCTTTAATTCCTAGAGGAACATGGGGCTTCAGCCGAGCGTCCCCATTGCGTTCGGTTCTCTGCCAACGTTTTCACCCCGCTCCAAGTCTGCCCACACGCTTTCATCTCCTCTTCACATGACTCCACCAAGTAACCCTCGCATTGACCACCAACTCGCCACTTCCCTTTCGGGTTCCACTTGAGCAATGGCTTGTCTAGTGATGTCACTTGATGGTTTGTTTCCTCAGTGTATGGCCAATCCGTCTCCATTTTTTCCTGCCTATTTGTTTCACAATCGGTTCCTGCTGTGTTGGTTCGCTGTCAAAGATCCCTGTTGCTGATCTTTTCTGGCCAGCCATCCGATCTGGAGCGAAGTATTGGGCGAAGTCAGCTGTTTATGAAGGTCTGTAATTTGTTTGAGGTGCTCTTCATGACGCGCCAAGTCTCTGATCCGTATAGAAGCAGTGACTTCACATTGGAGTTGAAAATCCGGATCTTATTTTCATTTTCATGCTGAAAGCCGAGTGCTGACCTCCACACAGCCTTCAAATTAATGAAAGTTTGTCTTACTTTTCCGATCCTTGCTTTGATATCCTGGTCAGTTCCGCCTGTAGTTGAAAAGATGCTTCCCAGGTGGGTGTAGGTGAAGGAGGTTGTTTCTTTCACGTTCCCCCGTTTATGCTGGCTGATTGTTGTCTGTTGTTGCTGTTGCTGCTGTTGGTGTTGGCCAGGAATCTTCATCACCTCTGTTTTATCTACGTTCACCTGAAGTCCTATCTTTGATGCTTCTTCTGACAGCTTGTTGCCTTCACTTGCATATCTTCCAGTTTGTGGGAAATCAGACATATATCATCGGTGAAGTCCAGACCCTCCAAGTTTTTGTTTGAGTCCATTTTATGCCTGTTTCGTCGCTGCCCGACGTTGTCTGTCGCATTATCCAATCTACTGCAATCAGGAAGATCATTGGTGATAGTAGACAGCCTTGTCTCACTCCCGTCCTCACTTCGAAGGCTTCTGTAAGTTTCCCGTTGTGAATTACTTGGCATGCAGCATTGTCGTATAACTGTTGGACGAGATGTATAATTGTCGATAGCGCCCATTAGTAGCAAAGTAGTTGCCAAATCACCTCTCATTCAACGCTGCGCTGTCGAAGGCCTTTTCAAAGTTGATGAATTTGAGATTCCATTCCAAGCTTTGTTCAATGATGATCCATAGTGTGGCGATTTGATCAATACATGACCTGTCTCTCCTGAATCCAGCTTGTTCCGGTCGAAGTTTTTCATCCATATTGGCGTGTTTGATTCTCTCCAGGATGATGTGACTTAGTATTTTGCTTGGAATAGACAGGAGCGTAATTCCGCTCCAGTTTTTGCATTGACTTAACTCTCCTTTCTTTGGAAGTTTGAATAAGTATCCTTTCTTACAATCCTCGGGTACTTTGTCCTCTTTCCGCACCTTCTCCAGTAATGGTGTCATCAAGTCCGCTGTTGTCTCTGGGTCCATTTTCAATGCTTCTGCTGGGATTCCAGCTGTTGCTTTTCCAGCTTTTAGCATCTTGATTGCATCTTGGTTATCGTCTAACTTAAACAGAATGCAAACCCACACATTATATTATACCCAAATGACTACCTGAAACTTCTATCTACACTTAAATAGACATAAAAGTCAAATTTGACTGCGACAACAATGACAATACGGACATTTTGGTATTCAAAATACGGGGTATATATCATTAACAAATCCTCGGGAATTTAGGCGATACAGAAACTAATCAAAAACTTTCCAGTCACGTTAGCACGTGCATCAGTCATGACCTCACGACTAACAACAATAGTTTCTCCGTCCTAACAGAAGCCAGCTACAGTAATATCACATCGAAATTCCCAAACAATTAGTCCTCAAACAATAAGAGTAGATCTCATCTTAATGCATAAAAAATCCCTACTCCGTAATTGAGTTAGTCTGAAAGAGTTGCTTTTAAGATGTACTATGAATGTACACTTCACACTCAACAACTTTTATTGCAGACAAATTGACGGTATTGCCATGGGTTCTCCATTGGGGCCAATTTTGGCGGATTTCTTTCTTGCTAAGGTTGAAAATGGTCCAATGGAACAAGTAATAGAAAAAATCCGATTCATACTTTCGCTATGTTGATGACACGTTTATTATTCTTGATGTGAAGGTTGACAAGAATGAAATGTTAAAAAAGTTTAATGATGCACATCACTCGCTCATCTTCACTTGTGAAGAAGAACGTGATGGTAGACTACATTTTCTTGACGTTCAATTGAGCAGAAGAGAGGATGGTTCACTAAAGAGAGATGTCTATATTAAACCTACATCTGTGGGACAATATACACATTTCGTCAGTTTTGTACCAATCCGATACAATGTCAGTTTGGTTAGATACCTCACGAATAGAGCGAGACGTATCTGTACAGATGACTCCCTACAAAATGGGTTAGAATACATCCAAAATACGCTGGTCCAAATAGGTTATCCTAGTAGATTTGTAAGGAGACACATGAACACCAGGTACAATAAAGAGAAACTGACAGCATTTAAAAAGAAAAAACTTTTCATGAGACTGCAATTTAATGGGGACGTGGCTAGCGAGGTCTTACATCTGAGATTATCGAGAGAGATAAAATGGACTTATACCGCCGCCACCTTTTGTTTGTCATTTTCCAGCCGACCAATTATGATTGCTCAATTGAAAGACATGCCACCTAGCTTTGCCACTTCGATGTGTATCTATAAATTTAGTTGCTCCTGTGGAGAAATCTACAAAGGGCGAACAACTAGACAGCTTAACAAACGCATTAATGAGCACCCTCCTTCATGGTCCGGAAAAGGTCAAATAAAATCTATAAGAAGTTCTATTTTGGCTCGTTTGATTGATAGTGGTCACCAAGTGGACAAAAATAGTGCCTTCAAAGTTATCTATCGCATTCCATAGAGCCTTTCGAAAGGAATCAGAACCCGTCTTTTACACTTAGCCGAAGCTATGGGAATTCGAGAGAACAATCCTAGTCTTCGTATACAAAAAAAAATTGTTCTACCTTCGTCTCTCCCTTGGCCTAGGTGAATTCTATTCGAAACCCTCCCAACCTTTCTTATTTTCCATCTCCTTCGTATTTTTATGATATTTATTTAAACTCTGATTATCTGTCCACTTCACCTTTAGTATTACGTAACTTTTAAGACGACCTAATTTATTTATTGAATTGTCTACATATACATATATTACTATCTTTGTTATTCTTATCGCTACGTGCATAAACTTTATTATCAATATTTCGTTATCATTATAATCATCGTTATTAACCACATTATTATTATTACTACTATTATTTAATCCACAAAATCACCATCATTGGTTAAAAAATTTTTATATATAAATCCATGTAAATTAGAGTAAAGCCTGAAGAATATCTAATTGAAAACAATATTGTTAGCTTATATGTCTTGTTATAATCAATATTCACAGTGAAATTAATATTCGATGATAATTTGGTTCACCTAGCTCCTCACGTTAGGATAGAAATCAGAGACTTATTGTCTTCTAATTTTAATCCTGAAACTACTCAAGTCTTTTTCCACATTCAGCTAGTGTACAGTCTTCTTAGTAATCATAACAAATAACAGACTTTTAAACTAGGCGGAAAAAAGCAAACCGTACTATAAATAGTGTGGAAACAGACTCTTTCAGACGACGCTTTTATAAATTTTCCCCTAGGTTGAATAGTAATGTTGGCGAAATAAACAAGGCTATAATATACCTTGACAAGATTACGATTTCGTTTTTTTTTTCAATTTCTAGGTAGTAACTACATCTTGGCTGTTACAATAATAAATGATGGTTATCAAGTGTTACTTTGCAGGGATTTGACCACTTACGGGTTTCATCAAGAGCTAACATCATTCAGAGAACCAGTGGAGTACCAGAGAGTACTGGATAGCTATTTCGTCCAACTACATACCCATCGGAGTTCGAACTCAGGACCTTCCTGTTTCAGGAAGAACTCATGAACTATTCAGCCAGTGGAACTCAATCTGATGACTCACCAATTCCAAAAGTAGTCCAATACTTCCTGGTTTTCTAATGGTTCTCTAAGTGATGTCAGATCGCGATCAAAACAGTAACTGACGAAACATTCCACTAAGCTAAGAGTGATACGGGTGAATTCCAACAAGACGTTATTTATATGAATAGCGTAATGTGGTATTAGATAGTTGAAGGCGATCCGCAGGAAGCCTTGGACCTAGGTTTCGTGCTAGTTGGCACTCGTCAGCAAGGCGTATCTGCAACTTTGAAGGAACTCATGTCCCTTCTGAGATTCGAACCCGCGTCACCCACAGCTGCGATCAGAGATCTTACCACTGAGCTATTCGGGCTTGCGATTGGCCTCCTTTAGGACTGTAGTGGGTATTTTGATTGGACAAAAGTAACTAGCGTGACGTGTCTAGTCCTATCTTTGGTGCAGACTGAATTCTATCAGTCAGGTTTGCAACGTGGCCACCATTCTAGGTAGCTCGACATCACGGCGCAAATGAGTTCCTTCAAGGTTGCAGATACGCCTTGCTGACGAGTGCCAACTAGCACGAAACCTAGGTCCAAGGGTTCCTACCGATTGCCTCCAACTATCTAATATCATCAAATCAATGTACACCATGTTGGCGAGCTACCTAGAATGGTGGCCACATTGCAAACTTGACTGACAGAATTCAGTCTGCACCAAACAAAGTACTAGACACGTCACACTAGTTACTAGTGTCCAATGAAAATAGCGTAATGTATTTATGTAGCATATTTGGAACGGTCTAATTACACACGTGGTCTACATTATTATTTATATATCATCCAGCTCAGAGAATACAACTACATCATTATCAACCATCTGCGCTTCAAATCTTCTCCATCATATCTAAAGCAGGTGTATGTAAAGATTATATTTACATAAATCTCAGTTATATCTAAATAAATATTTCCAACTTTAAATCCAGCAAACTGATTCTCAAAGAAGGAATCGAAGCTAATATACCAAAAGCGTATATACATAAACTTCCTTCATGAAGTTCCATACACTTTGCTGAATTAGACGCTGGAATTATTTTTGTCTTCGTTATGACTGAAACTCATACAAATGTAATTTTTTCGGCCTAAATATCGTCTAGCCGTTTGCAAGTCCAAAAAGGGGTAGGTGGTTGAGCAGCAATACCTCGGAAAAGACAGAGTAATTGCTACTAAAAATTCAAAGTCTCAGGATTTCATCATGAGCTGACATTGGTTAGAGAACCATTGGAAAACCTGAGAGTACTAGACGGCTGTTACGTCCTAGTTTGGGACTCTTCATCAGTACGCACCCACCCAAACTAGGACGAAAAGCCGTCCAGTACTCCCAGGTTTTCCAATGGTTCTCTAACCAATGTCAGCTATGATTAAATCCTGTAACCAATCAATCAAATCCCTTCAAATCAACACCTGAATTCAAAGTTTACTTCAAGTCAGGTTAGAAATCTTCTGGCTTTGTAATTTCTCGTTAAATGAAAATCTTTTTATCTTCTCTCTTAACAAGTTGAATTTTACTTATGCTGCAGGAATCATTCACTTTCACTATTATTTCCCAAGTATTGGTTGACAGAATTCTAATAAGTTTACGTTACATTACGAACTGATATCCTTTAGAGAACGATCAAAAACTAGGGTGTACTGGACAGCTGTTTCGTTTTATTTTGGTACTATACAGAAATCATGTCACCGCCAAAGGTGGAACCCAAGAAAAATATCAGCTCATGATGTAACCTGAAACTTAAAGAGCATCTAACGCTAACTAATGACTGACTAAAGGGTAAATTTGCTTGAAGTTCTATTAAGAAGTCGGCATCAGCCATGTTCATCATGTTGCGCATGAAGACAAACATTGACTAGAGGTAGCCCGACAAATGTCAAGAAATGGCTAAAGTTACTAGTGATGATCTATTGGATTCTGTTGAAGTGTCAGGAAGTTAAACGGCTCCGCTTCAGCCTAAGGGTCCTGTGTTCGATCCTTGATGAAGTCATGAGTACGTCTTGTTAAAGAGTCCCTGGATTTCAGTATTTCCCTAACTGATATCATCTCGTGGTCTAAATTGGATTCATAAATATTGATACTATTATTATTATTATCAATAGCAGAACAAATTAAATATTTTATTTATTTGATTTTAATTTTTTGGAAGCAAATAGGTGAAATAAAATCTCTTTCATTTCAGTGTATATAATCCTTTCATATATAATATGCATTACATACATTTACAATGGTCAAGTGTATGCATTTGTTTGTCGAGTATGTTTCCTCTTTTATTGTTTCTAATGTATTGTTTTAGAAATTCAATAATGAAATAAAAAGTGTGAAAAAAAAGTTGAATACTTTTTAAACATTTGGACAGATAAAATTGGATACTAACTAAGGTATGTTGAAGTACTTCTCCAACTCATCTTTGCAAATGTTTTCATTGTTTGTTTGTTTTTATCACTTCTGTCAGAATGTGATTTATATATGTATTTTAGAAAAAACTTTCATGAACAGAGAAAGGGATCTGAGTTGATATAAATTAGCTTAATTTAGCATTGTAGTCATATTCGTCTTTATTCATGAAATAGTTTTTTTTCACATTCTCAAAGAGTTTCTCTTTCTTTAACACCAATTAAAGTATTGTGTATCAAGTTCAAAAAGTAAACGTGAACTGCATGATGCACCAGACTCTCTTTGTAAAGGTGTAACTAAATAAGAAAAAGAAAACGAAAAAATAATAAAAGTATATATAGCGAGACTTGTAAATATATTAATCTTCGACAGCCTATTCAAAACTTCGGTTACCGAAAACCTCCATTAGTATATTGTATATAATGTCTCCTACTGACTTTGTTTTAATCGATTAAAAGATGACCTCTAATGCAGGAAGAAATGAAAGTGGATTAGCCATACTCTGAGAAAACCATCAAGTGACATCACACTCCAGGCCATCGCTCGAATGGAACCCGACTGAATGGAAAGCGGCGAGTCGGTCTTCAGATCAAGGGTGACATGGAGGAGGGTTATGTGAAGAGTAGATGAAAGCATGTGTGCAGACGTGGAACCAAGTGAAAACGTTGACAGAGAACCGAACGCAACAGAGAGGTGCGACTGAAGCCCTATATTTCACTAGGAATTAAAGGAAACAATAATAATAAATGATATTATTTACTCTCATGAGTATTAAAGTGTTTACAACCTGCTGACAAGCAAGTTTCTACTAAACTTTAGAAAGCATAAAATAAGTGGTAGTGTATCCCACTACGTGAGATAACTGTTCTCAACTATGTCCTTAGGTTTCAGAATATGCCCCGAAACCTTTTACGCCTGGTTCCGCATTAAGTGCTATACATTTATTGAAGGACACAAATAAGAATATCATAATGGTTTGTTTGGAGCTTCAGATCAGACAGCACTGTCACACGATCTACTGTCAATTAGTATTTTATCTGAAGATCCTACCCGAGGAGAAATATCTTGCAATAAACTCCGCTGAAAATTCTGTACATTATATAAACAATGTCTAGAATAAAACTATTATTATTAAAATTATTTTCAGAAATGAAATACTTTAAGATAAGACATTCCGTGATATTTTGTTTATCATATGTGATGTCACTTGCCTAACTATCGGATGATGTCAAATATCATAACCAGAATGTCACTGGAAGCTCTGCATTCAAAGGATAGAAATAAAATGTTTACTCAGTTCACTTAGGTTAACTGCATTAGCCGACATGATTAAGTTTCCTTAATAGAATGTATAACAACTAACTTCCATGTACTAAGAGAAACATAAACACATACGAATTAGGCTATATTAGTAACAGATGAACCAAAATGCCTTGGAAAGCAAATAATTCCTGTAAAACTAAAAAATGTGAACCTGATAATCACGGTTCAAATGGAAATAAAACAGCTGATCATCTTTAAAAAGTCTTATCACATTTTGATCTGAAACAAAGTGACTTTTCAACAAGTAATGTTGCACTAAAGTGCAACAGTTCAAGAAGTCATACTTCATACAAGTACACAAAGGTAGTGGAAAAAATAAATGCTGTAAAACTATAATACACAAAAATGTACGGAAGGAAGAACGGTTACATAGGGAATAATGGTAAACTTATGGATTTTGGAGTTCGATAATTGTGTGCCGACAAATCTCTACTCGGGAGAAATAAACCTGTGAGAAAAAGTCGGATTTTAGAATAGGAAGAGGTGTAATGATCATAACTTCACCCTCGGAGAGATTTCAGAAAATACTTACTACAGTTCAACATTTGCCGTTTTCTTTACCTGAAAACAAAATTCAACTCTTTCAATCGAGGGGTGCTACTGAAATATTTGGCCGCGAAAGTGTACTACGCTAATCAATGCGCTCCTTTAGAACTCAGCCAGCCTAGGTGAAGACGCTAGCAAAATACAGTCTTCTGAACACTTTGAACAGAAACCTTAGTATGTTTTGCATGCCATTTGCCGCTATCACATGTAATACGAAGATCCAAGACTGGTCTACACAGACTCTTAATGTAGAAAAGGGAGTAAAATGGTCAAAGGTGTTAACCATTCCGCCTATTTAGGATGCTGCATCAGTCTCAACAGACTGATTGCTGATATCTCACCACAGATACAAAAGGCCCCTGTAGTATTTGCCAACTTATGTTACAATAAGAAGACGTATTTTATCTGAAACGTGTAATGTATTTGCGCAACACATTTCGGACATTCCGATCACACGCATACTTGTTGTACACACTTTTTATAGAAGGCAAGAAGGCATGAATAATTATTCTTTCGCCCTTATATTTCTACTCCGTAAAGTTCTCTGGATTTTTTTCTTTTTTCCCTACCTTTGCGTGCCAAATAGTTTGGCAACTAGAACTGCCACACTTATGTGAAAAGTCCTACGTTCAAAACCCAGTCAATAAGTCATTCATAAAGAGTAAATGCACTGGCGCCACTCAGAATGACTTTTCAGCTATGTTGCCGACAGCCTCTAGTAATTAGTTCTTAGAATTAAGCAGTCTACATTCCACTGCTTGGTTCAAATCAACAGTTAAAGACCTCAGGTATTAATAACATGTTCCCATTTCTCTCTTGACTTATTACTACCTCAGCTAAAATATAACTCGAATGAATCATTAAGAAGATGCTAATTTAACTGATGTTGAAAACGTTGAATACTGAGAAACACAAACTCAAAGACCACTATCAGGAGTTTAAATCATAATACACAATGCAATACCTGGTAATCTATTATCATTTAGAAATCTGTGACACATATACCCAGTACAAAATTGTTGACCTCAGAATCAAATACTATTGATTGGTTTTTGATTAAAAAATGAATAAACAAAACAGTTTGAGATGTAAAAAGAATCTTTAAGATTCTGTTTTATCCATTTATCATAGATATCTTTGATTACTTTTTTAGCTATCGCTAAACAACGTCACCAACTATTTTACCATTCTATTCTCATTAATATTCAGTATTAGGATTACACAGAAAAGGGAGACAAGACAGTTTGGTTAATCTTATAATGTCTAATTGTTAATTAGTAACATAAATGAAATGCTTTACAAGGAAAAACATTCTCACCTTTTTTAGGATGTTTACACTCATGACATTCATTTCTTCGTGTTGAAACATTAAAACAGTCATCATCATAGTATGTCATAATGTTTGAATCATCTACTGGTTCAGGTTTTGGTTGAGGTGGACAAAATAAGTCATCCGCTGTCCAAGAAAGATTTACGCAAAAGGTATCCTTTCATTCTAGTCGAAATGACAGTAGCTTTTTTTACATATACTGTGAATCATCTGTTGATCAGCAGTTGCTTCTTGGTATACTTTTAGTACCATCTATAATTACCACTATTATTTCATTTCCCGGAGTTCTAGTTGCAATAATGAACTTCAAGCCTTGAGATTTACAGTTTCACTAGCGGTGGTATTAATTCTTTTTTACTGTGTGAAGTTGCGAATTTCGAGCTCAATCTCTTCCCTTATCCTGGTTTACCGCCTACCAGTAGTGAAATAGGTGGCGTTTAGGAATTCGTCAGTTAGTAATCCAAACCTGACCAGGTGTGTAGCTGGCAAGCATCATACCAGTGAATACCAACGCAAATTTCTACCACTCCAGGCAAAAGTTTGAACAATAATACTTTATCTCTCTAAGAACTGATCTTTTTAGTAACATTTCAGATGGAGTACATGTTAGAACGTAATTGTCAAGTGATCCTATCATGTTATCAATGAGAAATAGGGATTTTCACATACCCCTTTCAACAACATAATCCAGTTTAATGTTTTTTAGTAAAGTTTGTGTACTTGTAGTGCCCTTTTTATCAATGTATCTGGGGGCTTATTCATTTCTGATAAATAAAATTAGACCAAAGGTGTTCAAATAGTGTGGTAAACCTTGTACATTTCAGCATACCAATTTGAAACTGCTGTGTACCATAATGTACAAGAAAGACTTGGATGGAACTGGTTCAGAAACACCTGAAGTACTGAAAACCATTACTGTGAGTAGTGATAGGAATGATAGAGTGTTTGATCAAGATGTTCCAAAAAAATCAGAGAGAGGAGGATTGGGACCTTAAGACAGAAGAAATATGCTTCATACAGCCGCTAATACATACACTTATTACCAGTACTATCTCTCCCAATTTGTAGCACTTTGCTGTTGCTACTATTATTACTGTTGTTATTATTTGTCTCTTGGTTTCCTAGAGGAATGTAGGGCTTTCGCAGAACATGACCATTTCACTTTGGTCTTTGAAATGATATCAGGTTGGCTGCAAGGTTTTCCATAAGCTTTCCTTTCCTCTCCACACGATCACTCTATATCACCTTCAGACAAAAATCCAGCTTATCGTTTCCCATACGGACTCCAATTGACGGCGTGCTGTGATTTCACTCAATAGTCTTCTCGGTGCATGCGAAATCCATTTCCATTCGCATCTACATATTTGTTGGGTAATAGGTCCTTAGTTGGTTCGCTTGCCAGCAGAATTTCTTGTTGCTGGCCTTCTAGTCTTCATTGTGGGTTAGACACAACCATTGGTGAAAGTCTGCAGTCTGTTGGAAACCCTTCTGATGACGCGTATGCCAAGTGCCTGGACCATATAGAAGCATTGATTAACATCGATGTTGAAAATTCAGATGAGGTTCCCATTTGTTCAGGGCATTTCTGTCAGTCCAACGTGTGCCTATCATCTATCTCTCCCACAATCTGCCACAAAATCCAATCCACTACAATTAAGAATATCATCAAGTGATGGTCAGCAGCCTTTTGATACTCCTACCTTCACTTCAAAGGCTCCATTGAGAAGTTGCCGCTAACCTAACATCCTCCTCAACAGCTATTAGTTTGTTTAAATAAACTTTGGCATATATATGCGCAATTCACATTCCATTTAGTTAGTCCTAAGCTATTATAACTGAGACAGATGTAACTTCTTTAAATTTTCCACACTTTCTATGTGTCAATTTAGCATGAATCAATTTAAAGCAGCCTAAATTTATTTAGATTATGGGATTTGTGGGGATTTGGATCAATTTAAATTGTCGGATTTTCGTAACAAATCAACATCAGTTAGATAAATCATCAGAAACTAGGGAGCACTGGACAGTTGTTTCGTCCTATTTGTGGACTCTTCAACAATGCACACTTACGGCCTCACCAAGGATCGAACCTGAGACCTTCAGGTTAAGAGATCCAGGTCGCTGACTCTTCAACCATCTGGGATGGAATTCAGTGACCAGCAAATCCCAGCTTTGTCACTCAATGGTACGGCGCTACCCTCAATTGATACCTTCTATAGACATCCCCTCCACCTTGAGACAATGGACCCAACTGGTCACTCCTTCTCAGTACTTCTCACTAGCGATATACATCACTAAATTCCGTCCTACCTATCCATGAATATCTGCTACAACCGGGGATATTGGCGATCCCATGCCAACTCCCTCAGTTTGTTTGTATATTTTCCCTTGGATTTTAAATACTGTAGAAGTCAGGCAAAGCTGCACTCCCAGCATTATGTCCTCGAGTTGGACTTTTGTCCTAAGTTCGAGTTCTTGGTCAGAAATGAGTTCGTTTCTGACTACCTCTATAGCCATATTTATTGGTATACGTGTATATAAACTGACAGTGTCAAAACTAACCATTTTTTCTTCATTATCTAATTTTAAATTATCTAATCTGTGTTTTAGTTCATAAGAATTAGTTAGTCTAGATTTTGAGCGGCTTTTTAGGGGATTGAATACCATGGCTAAATATTTAGATAATTCACAAGTAGGTGAATTTCTAAAATCAACTATAGGCCTGATAGAGTATCCTGACTTATGAATTTTAACAACACCATACATCCTACTGGGGTCATTAGTTTTTGGCATTAAATTAAACGACTAATTGGTTTAAATTCCGTCCTAAATGAAATTAAATTTATTTGACAGTTTTATCTGAAAGATTTGACAGTAATTTATAAAGCCTGCCGTTAAAGAAATTTGGAAAGTACTATTTTGTGGTTTTCGAGGCCTCTTAGTAACCACACAAAATCAGAGTCATTGTAACATTCGTTTAGATGCTCTTCAACACCTTCTAAGTCATAAATAACCCCCCCCCTTATTTTTACCACATCCTCCTTGTTTATTTAAGCACTACACTTTGATTCATTTCTGTTATCTGTATAGTCAATAAATGTGGCACATTGAATTAACACAATCTAAACTGGCGTATCTGTAATTAATAACAAAACAAACACCTTTTCCATAAATTCTTATTTTTATGAGAATCAAAAATTTTATTTAGGCAGTAGAATATAACACTGTCTAACTTTATTACTCACCTTCTTTGTTACACTCAAAAAATGATTCACGACTTTTCCATTGAACAACAAATAGAAATAATGCTTTACGTAAGCCTAGAAATTGGCCTACTTGTGTTGTACCCGCTATAACATGACCACCATGACGTGTTACAATATTCACTAAATTATTAATATACTTAGTGAATAGATTAGAGTTTTTAGTTTCATATATATCTAATTGTACATAACGATAACCTTATATAATCAAAAGAAAAAAAACAGAATATGTTTCATTAGTAAATTAAGCATTTCAATATGAAATATTTGAAAATATAAATATTCAAATATAAAAATAAATTAATTAATCATTGTGAACTTGAAGTTCATTAGTTAAAGTGCATGACTTTCTATAAAAATGGGTCAACGTGTAAAATATTGTTGTGTTTATCGAAATTTATGTATTCAGGTAATCGTGGTAGTAGTAGTAGTAGTACTGGTAGTATTATTATTCTTCACGGAATAGGTATGCCGTAATACCTATTCAATATACGTAAAATTGGCTGCAGAATTGATATGAAAAAAATATGAAATCATTAATCATCCATCATGTGATTCTGGCTACAATTGTTCGAATGTAAGTTCATTTGAAGTTATTAGATGGTTGGAGGTAGCCGACAAGAAGTTTTAGACGTAGGTTTCGTGCTTGTCAGTACTCATCAGCAAAGCGTATCTGGAATCTTGAGGGAACTCCTGTCCTCTCTCTCTCTCGAATCACTGTTACCCAGTGCTGCAGTCATAGACGTTACCAGTGAGCTATTCGGGTTCGCGACTGACCTCCTGTAGAACTACTGTATTGGATAATTTGACTGGACAACTAGGTAGTAAGTAACTAGAGTTATGAGTCTAGTGCTTCGTTTTGGTGCAGACTGAATTTCGTCAGTCAATTTTGCAATGTAGCCATCGTGCTAGGTGGTTCACCATCGCAGTGAACTCCAATAGAATTCAGTCTACGCCAAACAAAGGACTAGACGAATAACACTGGTTACTTACTACCTAATGTTCGAACAAAGTTTATTTGATGTAACATAAATATACAGTATTAATAACTGAATGTTGTTTCCTGGTAATAAAACTAAAAAATCCGACCATGCCCATGAGAAATGTTTGTAAACGAATTTGAATAACTAGATATGACTGATTGCTAAGATGGACAAAAAAAGCAGAAGCTGAGTTCATTTCACACTGCACCGAATAAACAAGTAAAGACGAGTGCTAGTGTGGAATCAAGCTATAATAAAATATAAAATAATAATAAATAAAAGATGCTCAAGGGAACCAGATTACGAAGGAGGAAGAACAAATAAAACAATGGGCTGATCACTTTAAAAGGACTCTTGAATGGACTGTCTCCTGCAACTTACCTAGAAACACCACCAACATCAGGCATGGAACTGCCAGTGGACACCGATCTTACAAAGAAAGCAGAAATCCTAAATGCGATGAAGCTACCGAATACGGACAGGAAAGGAAGCAGGACTAGACGGGATTCCCCCACCTTGAAGCACTGAAAACACATCCAGAGACTGCCGTGGTTGTGCGCACGCCATTGTTGTAAATGGTTTGGAAAGAGGGAAAGGTACCTACCGATAGGAAGAAAGGCTACCTTGTCAAGCTGCTAAAGAAGGGCGACTTAGGCCTCTGAAAGAACTGACTGGCGTGAAATAATGCCCTTGTCAACACCAAGTAAAATACTTAGTCGCATCATCCTGGAGATGCACTGCATACAGAACTCCGCTAGCCAGGAACAAGCTGGATTCAAGGAAGGCAAAGTATGCTCTGATCAGATTGCAAATCTACGCATCATCATCACAGAACAAAGCATAGAATGGCTGTCAAACCTCCACCTCAACTTCGTCGACTTTGAAAAGGCGTTCACCAGACAGCGTCGAACGAGAAGTAATTTGGGAAATACCTCAACACTACAGCATGCAGTACCCAAGCCTTTATCAACCTCTTTCAACAGCTACATGAAAATGCCACGTGTCAGGTGATCCACAACAGGAAACTCAGTGAGGAGTAAGACAAGACTGCCTGCGTATTATCATCAACAATGATATTCTTAGTTGTGGTGAACTGGATTATGCGTCAGACTGTGCATCGCTAGTGAGGAGATAGGAATACGCTGGACTACCGAGAAGAGTCTAGAAGATCCATATTTTGTGTGGATGATATGTGTCTAACGTCACACACACAAAATCGAAGACTTTCAGGCGAAGACCAACAAACTGGCAGAAGAGGCTGGCAAGCAGCGCAGACAGCACTCCACGTGGACACAGAGAAGACAGAGATGATGATGATGACCAACCACCTAAACAACAACAACCAGCACCAACCACCATCAACAGGAGATAATTAGCAGAAGTTATGTCCTTCACTTATCTAGGAAGCACGGTTTCAACCACAAGCAGGCAGAATAGATGAAGATCTCAGAGCCAGACAGAATTGGAAAGGCAAGATACGCCTTCATCAACCTGAAATCAGTTTAGAAATCTTCTGAAATCCACAGCATAAAGAACGAAATTTGGGTTTTCAGCACAAATGTGAAGTCATTCAGTTCTTCTATACAGGTCAGAAACTTGCACCGCATATCACGAAAAGACTTCCAACAAGCCACTACAGACTTTTACGAATAGCTGCCCGTGTCCCTGGCTCCATTCTGAAGACCAAATGGCCAGTCAGAAAGGATTAGCAACAAGAAACTCTGGCGATAAACAAACCAAACAAGAGCCTAATGCTCAACAAATATGTAGGATGAAATACAGATGGATTGCGCACATGTTGATGAAGCCATCGAATGACGTGGCGCCCAATGGATGCCACTGCTCGAGTGGTACTTGAATGGGAAATGACGAGTGGGTCATTACTTTGAGGGTGACATGGAGGAGATCGTTTGACGAGGAGAAGATGACAAATTATAAATAATCGTGGTTCCAGCTGAAGAAGACAGCAGAAAAAAGAACAAAGTGGAGATGTGTTGTTGAAGCCCTATGTTCCAAAGGGAACCTAAGGGATTAATAATAAATAATATAATAGACATAACTCTCATGAACCAGAATATCGGTACATTAGAGATTACGCAATACAACCTAATTACAGAGAGCTAAATATAAGGCATATGAGATAGGAGTCGATGTAAATAGTGAAGATAGTATGTTTTGACATTTTTAAACAATGATAAGTTAAAGAAGCTATGATTTTCACTGCAAATCTGTCATTTTCCATACTTTTATGGAATCTACGCATAGCACAGTATCCTCAGTGTACTTTAATGCATAATATTTACTTCTAATATAAGAAATTAAAATGAAATATTCGTTGACAATATGTTACACAGTGTTACTCCATCTGAATAAAAGATTGAATCCTTTATGATATTTTTCTTTCTATTTCCTCAGAGAAATTTATAGCAGTGCACTGAAAGCTCACAATGTAGCGATCCAGTGATGTAAGTGGACGATTAAACGATAAGGCAGAGAGGAAGGTCAGTGCATTAGGTTAAACAGAAATTCAAGTAACCTACTGACTTAAGCACTTATCTGTCAGTGTTCAATTTTTCCACTATAAATATGTTCATCCCAATCAGATTATTTAAATAGTTTTTGAATGAGTGATAATTACCTGCTTTAATAAAATATAATACAGAATTTCAAACAGCCTAGAAAGCTATTAATATAACACATACTGTTTACCCTTCACATTTTCAAATTCCTTGAGTTCCGAGTGGGACATAGGTCTTGAAGTTTCATCAGAGATGATGTTATTTTCACTTTACTTTTCCTGTCTTTCAATTTTACTACCGGTTGGTAAACTAGGTGGGAAGCAAACTCAAACCACCCACATAGCTAGCTAGCATCCTACCACTAAACTACCGACGCACAGAAAAGCTTATATTGTCTAGGAGATCTAAATCTAGTAGCTTTTTCTTGATACCAAGGTAATTCTTGAAAGATCAGAATTAAACACGATCATACCCATTTATGCATCTGAGATAAAATGAAGAGTGATGACACCGAGTATCCCTTATGAATACCGGCGTTTGTCACCAAGTAGCATGATTACTCTTCATATGCTGTTACATAGCTACATGAACTCGAGTAGAGTGACTTAGTTAGGATAACCTACTTTCTCGTCACCCCCTTCACGTTTAGAATTTCCAGAACACCTCATTGTTGCTTCTGGATTTCGAAATGGTGTAAGTGTGAGATACTCGTAAATATGTTTGTGTTCTAGAGTCTTTCGGAGTGGAAATGTGATCGATGCATCAACATCCAAGACTGTTAATTAGGAATTATTCTCAAGCTCTAATTAGTCTTTGTATGACCATAAACCCTGGAATGTTGAACAACACATTAATCAATCTAATCCTCTAATAGTTGAATTACAACATCATTGGAAAACTTGAAAGTCCTGAAATTCATTAAGTAAAGTAATGAATGCGCTATCCTTCTGTCCTTTACTGGTAGTGAATCTCTGGATATAACAAGTTCCTGATGAAAAACAAATTACATAAAAAATTGATCATAGATACTAAATGACTTAAATGAGGACTATATTTATGCTCGTCAACTTACCTGGCCATGATTGCATTGGATTACATAATGGAACTATATAAAGTTCATGACCACCATAATGATGTGGTTCACGTAATTCAACTTTAGATTCAATACATCTTTTAGCCTCTTCAACATGATCAAATGTTAAAATACCAATATTTTGATTTCTTGGAAATACGCCTTCTACACAACAAATATCCTTCAATGAAGTGTAAATAGGATGAATAATTAGAATTAACAAATTCAAATTGAAAGCTAAATAAGTTTCATGACTAACAAACAAAATCTTTTCACTCCAACATCAGGACTACTACGCCTGCCTTAAAATAAACTTAACGATGATCTGGATACTGTTTTAAACATAACGTATTAATAATAAGATTGGTATCCTATTTTCGACAACACAGAAGCGTTTCATGTCGTAAGATATTAAAATAATAGATAAGATTTGTAGCTCAGGTGGATGATTTGGAATTAGGTGTGTGTCGCTGAGCTGGTTAATTTAATTGAGAAGTTTTCTTCGTCCTTTGGACAACCTCTTCAGTGCAAATTCTAGCATAAAATGAACTGATTTAAATTCTCCATGAATGATAGAATTTGTCTTCCGGCAACCATCTTCGTGACTAGTAGTCGACTACATTTGTGCTGATCATTTTTATTGATGTAAATCGACTACTAGTCACGAAGATAGTCGCCGGAAGACACAATTCTTTCATTCATGGAGAATTTAAATCAGTTCATTTTATGCTAGAATTTGCACTGAAGAGGTTGTCAAGAAGGACGGCGAAAGATTCGCAATTAAACCAATCATCTCAGAGAACACAACTAATATCAAAAGATTGGTATCGCTAACAGACAAAAATGTCTTTTATAAAATTCCTTATAGCCTCTCTTCTCATATCTTCAGAATAAACCAGTTAATCGTATCAATTTTCGTTGAATGCATCCGAAGCTACGGTAAACCTGAGTTTCCCTATGCCTAAAGGTACTTCAGGGTTACGGATTATCTACTCATAAATACACATTTCACATATCTTTCCGTCATAAATAAATTACATATGTGAAGCAACTTTCTATAAGCAAGGTGTTTCTTCACCTTCTGATTCATGTGAATGCAGACTGATTCTTGGATTCAACCATGACAGTCATTTTCCAGCTAAATAGAGAGCTTATTTAACGGTAGAATTAAATGTATATAATTCTCAAGTAATCCAACCTTAGTAATGATTGATAAGAGGTTTTAAATGACTGATTGGCGAAGGGCAAAATGTTCTTCTGCATAACTTCTTCATAGGTATTCATTGTATTTTCTTCCATTTATGCAGACAAAAGGTCTGTGTGATTTAACAACCACCGTCTGAATGACATCTTACTGGGATGCACTGCGTATGCTTCGGCACAGAGACTTGTAATAAACTTTACGATAATGATTTTATTCTATGCAACTATTAACGAAAGAATATGAAGTGAAAGTCGATGAAGTCATCCATAAGAATATTCTTCGCTCACTAATAAGTCTTTTGAAATCTATAATGGACATCTTCATTCAATTAGATTACTGAATACAAATACGAATTCTGAAAAATTCATCCAAATAAAAAAGGGGCAAAAATATAGTGTCTAATCATCTTTCGACAGTCTTAACAACATGATACACGTTATTTCATTATCAAAAGGTTGTATGTCAACAACCAGTGAGTAGATCAGCTCTCACCATCAGTAACTGTGAAGATTAAGCTGCCTTCCAAGCCAACTAAATACGATACAGCAATCATAACGATCTCTGACAGGATAATGTGTATATCTGAATTCTTTTAATTGATGTGAACTCCACTTATATTATTATTATTAAGAAGATACTTATCTAAAGAGGAAAGTTTTAGTTATTAATACTGAGAGTTAACAGGTCATAAACAAAAAGTTGTGGTTACGTGTCCAGTTTCCTATATGCAGTTGCAGATGTTTAATATTATTGTTTTTATTATTATTTTATTTAAACGCATAAAAAAACTTAGTACAATATGTCGCCAAGAAGCATGTGCCACACAATAATAATAAAACAACATAGATTAAAAGTATTAAAAAAATATAAGTAGAGAACGGATAAAGAATTTCATCAGCAAGGAAAACACTCATGCTTAACAAGTTCAAACAATATTCGTTAACTACCAACCGGAAGGGAAGAAAGAAGGAAATCGCAACACGTTCGCCATTGATTACGATTCTTGGCCATATCCGATAAAGTTTCGAGCCATCGATTCGAGCTATCTCGAGGACCCCAGCCAGGGAGTCGTGACACACCAACCGATGCTAATCTAGCACAAAAATCCTTCATCTCACGACCCCACGTCATGGACTAACCACACCTCCACCTTTTCCATCCCGTCCCAGGGCTAGCGAACAGAGACCTGTACGGAAGCCTCTGGGGTGACATTCGGAGCACATGTCCAAGCCACCGGAGCCGGTGTTTCCAGATGACGACACTCAATGAATGGTGATCTCCACTGTGTTCAAACGTACGCCGCCGAACCTCAGAATTACTCCCGCGATGATGCCATCGAACGCAATCAATCCTACGGAGACAGCGATGATGGAACACGCAGAGTCGTCGCACATCCTCAGCTCAGAGAGGTCAGGTTTCAGAGGCCTGGCGTAGAGCAAGACAGCCTGCACCGAAGCATTGTATACCTGACATTTAACAGCTAGGCTAACATCGCGACGGCGCCATAGGTGGCTCAAGTTGATATATGCCACTCTAGCCTTCACTATACTGTTGGAAATCTCATCCGTCACCCCTCCGCCAGCACTTACACAACTACCCAGGTACACAAACTTATCAACAACTTCAAGCGGTTCACCCTCAAGCATGAGTGCAGGTACATGCTCCTGCCAATCTTGTAACAGTACTTTGCACTTAGACGGCACAAAGCACACACTATACTTACAGACACTGATCGCCAACTGATTAAGTGCGATTTGGGCAGCCTGCATGCTATCGCACAGTAAGACGATATCGTCTGCATACTCGAGGTCGAAAAGTCTATCTCCAGGTAGCAGATCTACACCACTTTCACGCACATCCTTCAGAGCTGACTCCAGAATGTCATCGATGGCAAAGTTAAAGAGAAATGGAGAAATTAGGCAACCCTTTCTAACCCCACTGTTGGTTGGGAACTGTGATGATAGTTGGTTGTATGCCCTCACTCTACTCGAGGTGTTTCTCTAAAGGGATTTCAAGATGTTAACAAATTTCTCAGGTACACCTCTCTCCAACAGATATTATTGTAATATTATTGTGATACTTGAGTATTATTTTCAATAAACAGTTTACTGAAGAGAAATGTAGAACCCCTAAGATAACATTCTATTTTCAAAAACACTGACATCATTTACTGAATTAACTAGTTCAAACAAATTTGAGCATTAAGATTATTTCTATAAGTTATATTTACAATGTTCAATTTACACAGTTCGAAAAGGTGAGATCTCACCATTTTCTTTTGGAAACCAAAATTATTCAGATCATAGTATATGGCCTGCTTGATACTATGAATGGCAATCAAGAAGGTAAGCATATTTGCATAAAAATGTGTACTACTGATTGACCGAGATAAGTAGTTTGTATGCCATTCATACAAACCAGTAGTGCTTGCTGGCCAGATCGAGATGATGTAAACACCAGACGGTGGTTTCGCTCGTTTCAGATTCAGCTTATCAGCGGTATACCTGATATGGCTCAGCTCAGACAGGCGAATCAGTTCAAACTACTTGATGTCTGGTTAGACACTTCGATGAACTGGTAATGTGGAATCAAATTCATAAATTACAAATTGATTTGCAGTTCATAATTCACACAGTATGCAATGTATTAGATGCCATAAATGGTAATTAGAAACCAAGCATATTTGCATAAAATCATATACTACTAACTGGTACGGATGAGTAGTTGTGTACCATTTGTACCAACCAACAGTGTCTAATGGCCAGATCGAGGTAGTATAACCACTCTTTCACCGAAGCAGCTAGCCAGAATAACGGAGTAATTTGAACTGATTTGGCTCTATGAGATGAGTCGAACTGGGTACACCGCCGATGAGCCCGGCCGAAATGAGCCAAATAGTCGTCTGATGTTTAGATATCCTCTATCTGGTTAGAAAGCACTACTGGTTGATATGAGAGGTATACAGCTACTCATCTGGATCAGTTGGCAGTATATGGTTTTATGAGATCACTCCTAACAGGTAAAAGACTGTCCGTAACATATTGGGTAATAGCATATTATAGTTAATTGTTTATGTTCAGGATTGGGAGCAGTGTTATCATCGCTTTACGTACTTTCGGGAGATCATATAAGCACTGAGCTACGAAATCCAAGGGTAGTAGTTACTCATCCCTCATCTTCTTCAGGATTGGCTGATTATTTTCTTTAAGTTTCTATTGAAAATTTATATTCATCCGATATGGAGGTTGGTGTTTTATCGATATAAATTTGACTATTCATGAGGACGATGCCAACACGTTTGTCGGGACGAATCAACACCATCTCTTTATTACTTGGGTTATTAAATAGTTGTCTTCTGTGCCAAAGTGATGTCAGTCATTTCGCATATGCTTTGTTTTAAATATTAGGATAAAACTTTTAACTTGAACTGTTCACACATTTTGTTCGAAACTGGAAGAAGTACAACAGACATTTTCTTCTACTTGTCAGAAATCATATCAATCATCAGTGCGTCACATTAATGTGAATTCATCAATTTAGTAAATAATTATGCAAAAATATATCCACTACTTACAAGTAGATAATTTTGCAAGTGAACATTTTGATGAAAAATAATTTGAAGTAATTAATGATGAACTTACTTTAGCAATGCCTAAAAATTCTCCGTTCCCATAAGCTCGCATCACAGGATTATGAGCTATCATAGTGTTACGAAATTTTCCGAATGAAACTTCATCCAGATTGTAGTAGATTAAGACCATACACTGACATGTATTACGTTTAATATTCTTGCATTAGAGAAGAAACAATAGTTTATTGGGAAAAAATAAGAAGACAAATTTATCTAACATTTTGTTACACACTTACTTACCAAATATATTTATGTAAAACTCAAAAGAGTATCAAGGGGTGATTTCAACAGATTAGACGTAATTGTATCAAGTTTATTTGAGGAAGACGTTTGCAGATATGTAGTTACCTTGTTTGTACATAGTTCTTTCTTATGAAATGAAGTGGAAAAGCATGGCAGTGGTTTTTTGTGTTATATAAACACATGCCTACTCCGTCTGTAACAGTTGTAAGAGCCTACTGGCTAGCCATCAAACTGGAAGACCATGGATGTAATTATTAATATGATTATTGTAGGCAATAAAACGTAATTGAAACGCCAACAAGTAATTAACACTTTATAATTGTGTGTTATGTCGAATGAACTTATCTAATACGGAATTTCTATTTTTTATCATAAGATGTCGCCATTATGATTTCAACAGGATCAACTAATTGTTTTAAGCTTTAACTATTGACGAATTTATTCGTACAATCTACCTGTTAGCAATGATTTTTAAGATTAAAAGGGAGAAACATTCACAGTTTAGCTTAGTGGGTGTGGAATTCAGCATTAATCTCGGAGTTTGGATAAAATTCTTCGAATGGGAATACACTACTGACATCACTCAACTTTAAAAAACCAAGAAGAATACATTAGGCAGGATAAAACGACGTCCTGTTCAATGTATTCTTCTTATTTTATTTAAGTTTATCAAGGAAACAACTGTTTGTATTTTAACAAATCAACTACAAACATTTTTCATGTCTGACATTGGCCATATACATAACTGAATTTCGTTATCAGTCAATCATATTACAAACCTCATTTACTTATTATTTCAAGGGTTCCTCTCAACTCACCACAACCTAAATGATACAAAAATATGATTTAATATAAAATATAAATATAACTGAAAATTTAAGCATACTGTTTTCACAATGACAAGCAGTAATTGATAGGTAATAAGAGTAACATAATTCCAGAATGATGTTAAATTGTTGTTAAATTATTAAAAGTTAGGAGAGGTGAAAAGAATCTCTGAAAGAATAAAATACGATTTCATATTATCCTAATGTATTTCTCTTCCTTGTGTTGTTGAAGTCTATTAACAAGAAAAATTGTATGAAGTTTTTAATTCAAGTTGGTTAACTGGTTTAAGAAATTCGTGTAATAATGAATATATTTTAAATTCGATCATAGTATAAAGGAAGTTGATTAAAAGCACTCACTAAATACTTATTTTGAAGTGAAGCTAGTTCTTATCTTGGGGCGTCAGTGGTTCAGGGTTCGGTTAACGAGTGACGCACTCCTAAACCTCTCTCAGCCTGTAGTAAGACCGGTCAGCAAGGAAGCCTGGAAGTGAAGCTAGCGATTCCACCCTGTAAAAATAAAACTACTGCCACCGAAACTTCATAGCTCTAGCTTGAAGCTTCATGTTCTACTGGGGACGTAATACAGTAAAATAAAATAGTTCTCGTCTTAAGTAGTAGAGCATTTAATATCTGACTTGTCTTTAAATTCATAAGGAAAAGCTTCCCTTCAAGGATATCGTTCTCTGAAACAGTACAATTATATTTATATTTACAACAAAAATATATGTCTTTTATTGATAAAAGTGTGAAATTCCTATAATTATATAGTGTACATAGATAGGATAAAAGTTGTTACTTAAGACAAAGAGAAACTACATAATGACTCGTAGGCTGCACTAGGCATCACCTATCTGCGAATTTATTATTGAACATCAACCAAGATGATAATGAATGTAAGTCAGCAGTTGTGGGATTCAAGAATTAGTTAACTTTGGTTATGAACATTTACCAGAATATTCCTATAAATCTATTACTATATTTGAACGTAACCGCAAAAATGGAGTGAAAATTCAAAACTTGTCCACCAATTCGATTTTGTGTTCTGTGTACAATAAATGTTTCTTCGGTCTTTAAGTTTGACTGATTTTATTAATCCCTCCATTCAAACAATTATTTCACGAAACACTAGTTAAATGAGTTGGAGCTTCAATGCTAGAATATTTGCTAAACACACCACATGGTCATGGTTCAATTCTCAGCTGTATGCACCAGTCACATCGATTGGTTTATTAGCTCGAAAAAGAGTAAAGGTTGATATGAGGCTAGAGATGCAAGCCCATAAAAACAACACAGCTGCTACTAGAAATTCAAAGCCTGAAGCTCTTTGGACTGATCGGAATGATAGGAACGAAAAAACGTTTAACACTAAAACTTTTACCATGTTCCCCGTTCGTGTTCTTCATCCATACTACTGTACTTCGTATTTAGTAATAATTTTCACATTATTAAATTCTAGATATTAATTATTACTTTCGTGTTCTCCTGAACCATTCAGTAATCCATAATCAAATGTGAACTAGAAAAAACCATAATCACAGCCGAGAATTTCAATCCATTAGTCTGGAGAAAAGAAATTAGGTCTAACACCACCAGTAAGATGTCAGCGTCACTTAGAAAAATTCCAAAATTCATCACGTTCCATATCGATTTGTTTATTAGACATATCACACAGTGAAACAGTATTATTTACTAGATAACGTTTCGGACACAATTTACTGTTCATAATCACATCAACTGTAACCACACAACTTTGAAACTTTCCACATTTACAATGTGGAAAATTTTCTGCGTGATTAATTTCATTTATAATTTGAGGAAATTAGATGCAGTATTGTGATTAATGCTGAAAATTCCGATCTTTATCACAAGTACTGTTTTTGGAATAAAGTAAATCATTATTATTATTATAGTTTTCGCCCTATTACTTAAACATTTCACCAATCGTATTAACGACAAAATGGATATCAAACATGCAAGGAATGATGGCAACACTAACAATAGAGAATTTAAATCATCAGTAGTAATTCCATACACGGAAAGAATCTCGGAAAACTTACACAGAATCCTCAACAAGGCAGGAATAAAAGTGACTGGTATTCACACTCACAAACTCAATTAGAAACAAGCTTTGTCGGTTAAAGATCAATCCTGTGGAGCCTATGAAACAAAACAACTTAGTTCATCTAATTCCCTGCCTGCGATGATTGTCAGGTCAAATACATAGTTCAGAGTAGTAGAACAGATGCAGTCAGACTAGCGAAGCATAAAAACCTAGCAAAATCTAGATTGGTTGACCCGAATAAGATAAGAAATCTAGAGATTAGTTCAGTTATAGCACTCACTACATGCAATTACACACAACCATACAATAGAATAGGATAAGATGACAGTTTTAAAATCTAATGTCACAGGGTGGATAGAGGGACAGATTGATAACAGAAGCTTTGATAATCGAATCAACTGCAAATACGTGTAATAGGAATCATTCAACACCTCTCCCAGATATCTCTAACATTCTACTACCCATACGACGAATGGGAAGGAAGAATGAGAACTACATAAATCAAGTTTCGAAGTTGTGTGGTTATAACTGACATGATTATGAACAATAAATTTTGTTCGTAACGTCATCCAGCAAACAATACTGTTTACTGTGTGACATATCTAATAAACAAACCAATATAGAATTACATACTGCCACAGTGCCCAAGTTCTACACATATATATATGTTGCATGATATTCCGTCTATTATATTGGACTTTTTCTTGTTTAGTAACCAAATCACTGATATAAGGAAGAATGGTTTTGACTGGGAACTCAAACGGCACGAAACTCTTAACCCTAATTTAACGAATGAACTATATACAAAACTATCATACAAATTTTAGTATCCTCATGAATCATCCTTTCAGCAGTAAGTGATAAATTACAATTCAATTTATATGTCTCATGCCGTACAAATTATATCTATATAGTTACCAAAAATGTCTGAACAAGTATACTTAATATGAAAATTCTAAAGTGGTCTATCATTCATTCAGATATTTAAATCCTCTTAGTATCCTACAAACTAAAAATGCATTTTTTTCAAAATGCATGCCGATAAATTTCAAATTAAATAATATTTATCAATGTATACTGGTAGAGTTTACTAAAAAGTAACCAGTAACTTACCAAGTTATGCAGGCTTATTCCTGCTTCCCATTCTGGACAAATGGAGGATTAGTATCTATTGAGAAATGATTGTTAGTAAATTCCCGAAGAATTCATTATGCATTTATCTTACTTTCCATAACAGTAGACATTTTTAGAGAATTCGTGTATAACCGCTAATATTCTGTTTAAATTAATTCACTAAGAAACGGATCGATACCTTAGTGCTTCAAATTCTTTTGGATCGATAGTCACTTAACATACACATTATAGATAAGAAATATTGCTGTATTGCTGTAGATAAAATGATACGCTAATTTCATTCAAATTAGTAGCTAAATATACTGACTGGGAAAATATGGGTAGTATTCTTGAGTCCGATCAGTACAGCGGCATATAATGCAGGTATGTAGCAGACTGTTGCTTACAGTGTGTATCTCACAAAATTGCATAGCTTCATCGATAATGATCTTTTTCACAAGTTTCCTAATTAATTTCGCAATCACTAATAATTAGCTCAGCTTCACAAAATGACAGTTAGACAAATAAAACGCACTGAACACTTGTGAATGCCAATAATTTCTTATGTTAGACATTGAAAATATCTTGTCTCTAGGTTTAATCCTACTGCGACAGGTGGCTACTTGTTTTGAAAGTAAGGTGGCTTTAGCAAACCACTGACCGAACAAAAAGAAAAGGAAATACATCAACATAATTAGGCTCCCAAAATAAAAATAGTCAATAAGCCATTCTAACATTCGTTAATTCATCATGATTATCGTTTAACTTTTTAGGTAGTCAGCAATGACATAACTCAAAATTGGCAGATGTGATGTAGATGCAATTTACATTTTTCTACACGCTTAGTCTGAACTTCTCTGATGAGAAATGACAACTGAGCGACTGTTTACAGTCATTTGTGATGCCAAAATTCCATCTTAGGTTCAATTTCTTCAAAATATTATTTGTCAATTTATCAGACTCAACAGTACGTTTCGTTTGAAATGTATATTTAGAGAAAATATCTACAAATAGAAGATGAAATTTCAACAGGGTCTCCTTCTGGGCAAATTCTTGCAGACTACTTTGTGGTGGGTCTAGATAATGATCAGCCAAAGTCTAGAATTAATCATTTTTTAACTGTTTAGAAAGTGTGCGGATGGCACTTTTATGATTTGTGATGATAACTTTGACCTGACTAAATATCTTCCACCAGGCGGCAAAAATCACTCATGAAATAGAAAGTCAGTTTAGCATTCCATTTGTTGGCATAAAGAAATCAAGAAGGGGTCATGATAACTGGAAGAGATTGATTCATTGGAATCTGACATTGAATAGTTAGCTGACAAATTCCTATACTTGGATACACATTAGTTGCAAGGGACATACCATTATATCAGTTGCTACTTGCATTCGGCATATATACAGCCCTGATACCACAGGAGAAGAGACGAACCTCTTGAAAAATCTCTTCATTAAAAATAGTCTATCAATCTGCAGATTTCTTAATCTGACAGCGGAATTAATGATAATAACAATCTGCTCTATTCGAAAACAGTACTTATGGTGCAGTGTGGAATTTCCAGCATCTGGTACAATATCACATCTAATTTACTCGACAACGGAGAAATCGAAGACTAAAATAATATTACAGGATTGATAATAACAGCTATCTGGCATTAGCAGTGATAATAAAGTCAAAAATGTACAAAGATTGTACAATTATAAGTAAATTATAGGTGTAGTTAACTGAAATAGTGTCAACATAGATTATTAATGGCAGAGACATGATAAGTTGTAGGTTTTGAGCTTAACATTATCTCTATCACAAAGAAGGCTGATATCATTGAGTTTCTGTACTTGGTTGAACAGGTATATAATCTTTTCGACTCTGTCCATCAAGAGGGGCGGTGGCAATGTTTGGCTGTGAAGGTAGTACCGAGGTAGTACAACGCACTAGTCAAGGCACTCTACTTTAACTCAAGCAACCGCGTAAGAGGCTGAGGAAGTGATGCCAACGGGCAGTGTTCGCCAAGGATGCCCATTATCTTCAGTTTTGTTTAATTTCATCATAGATGTACTAATGGGATTGACCTGTAATCAGACGTACCTGCATTCACTGTTTGTAATCTCCTAGATTCATTGTAATTCTTATGTTTTTCCATATAACTGTCCCCACTGCCGTACATTTCTGCTCATTACAGTTCTTTTAGAACTCTTTTTCTCCCTTTTTTGTGCGTGTTACATGGGGTGTATCAGTCTGAAATCGTGCATTTCTATTCTTTGTTGAAACTCAATCAAACATCAAAGGCACTTCGCTTTCGGTTCGTAGATAAAAACATCATGTCAAAACCTCCTGGTTAATATGTGTAAACCTTGGGGACTGTGGAAGTAAGTAATTCCATACTAGTTTGTTTATTAGATGTATTACACAGTGAAACAGTTCATAATCACATCAATTACAACCACATATCTTCGAAACTTGATTTATGTAGTTCTCATTCTTCCTTCCTATTAGTCGTATGGGTTGTAGAATTTTCCAGATATCAGGGACAGGTGATGAATGATTCCTATTACACGTATTCACAGTTAATTCGATAAACAAAGCCTCCGTTATCAATCTCTCCCTCCATCCACCCTGTGACATTAGATTTTGAAACTGTCATCTTATCCTATTCTATCGTATGGTTGTGTGTAATTGCATGTAGTGAGTGCTATAATTGAACAATTCGCTAGATTCCTTATTCGAGTCAACTAATCTAATCTAGATTTTGTTAAGTTTTTATGTTCGGCTAGTCTGACTGACTGCATCTGTACTACTATTTTGACCTATGTATTTGACCTGACAATCATTCCAGTAGTGTGTTAGACAAACTAAATTGCTTTGTTTTAAAGGCTCCACAGGATTGATCCTTTAACCGACAAAGCTTGTTTCTACTTGAGTTTGTGGGTTTAAAATGCCAGCCGCTTTTATTCCTGCCTTGTTAAGAATTCTGTGTTAGGCTTCCTAGGTTCATTCCGTGTATGGAATTACTACTGATGATTTATATTCCTCATTGCTGGTGTTGTCTTGCGCATGTTTGACATGCATGTCGTCATTATTATTATTATTATTATTCTACTACCCCTACGACCAATAGGAAAGGGTAAAGAAAACTATAAAACTCAAGTTTCGAAGTTGTGTGATTATAATTGATATGATTATGAACAATAAATCTTGTTCAAAAAGTGATCCAGTAAATAATACTGTTCCACTGTGTGATACATCTAATAGACAAAACCTCCTGGTATGAGGAATTTTTTAAATCGGAAACGATACTGTTTACTAAGATAATATACAGCGAATAGACTCTTTCCACCAAATTTATTTTCAAGCTGTACAATCTACATTAATTAATTTCTGAGAATTACTCTCAACATGTCTCATTTTACGTGTAATATCAACTCTTCTCTATTTTATCTAGTTACTCAACATCTAATCGATAATGAATATTCATTTATTTTTCACAGATTGACATAAGCTAGAGAACTATTGAGAACCATAGAGTAGTATACGTTTTCACCTTCCTAGCTAACGACTACTCCGTAGTATACATCCACAATCCCACTAGAGATCCAACTTAGGACTGAATCAATAAATTCCAGCTTCTGCCTATTCGTGATATACAGCTCCATTACCACCCAGGATTTCTCCTCAAATCTGACTTGGCGGGTCCCGATAGTCACGACTTCTCAATGGGCTTACCTTGCCAATTAAAGGTCCCAGGTCCAATCCCCGGTAGGATCGTCAACACGTACTGCTGACTGGTCTTTAACCAGAACGAAACTGCTATCTAGTATTCCTAGTTTCCGATGTTCCTCTAACTGATTTCAACCTGTGATCTAACTTGAAATATTATTATTTACTGAACCTATCTTATGTCACAACTAACACTCGTTAATTTCCGTATTATTAATCCCCCTCGTAATTATGTATTTTAAATCTAAACTTATCAGATACATTAATCTAACAATCTATATAGCTGCCATTGTACAAGTGTGCCAAATGAAATAACCGGGGAGTGTCTTAATGACACTTAGATAAACACAGTCAAATAGACTCAATAAATTTGTTTTTCCAGACCAAAAAGCTAGATCAACATAAATCTTCGCACAGATAATCACTAGTTTAGCTTATCCTACTTCTAAAAGGCATAGAAAGAGAAACTGAATGAATAGACAGTGATTAAACCGTAAATCAAATAGGTATTGGACATACTTGCAATTATAATAAGTGGTTTTTGGTCGTTACTCACAGTCTCAGTCTATTGATTCTTAAAAACTGAACAGAAGAGTGCACGAAACACTTGACACCCAACACAGTCGGTGAATATCTATGCCTACATCAATTACTTTTATCAAAGTCCACGTTCGTCAATCAATATTTGATCATATACATCTATCTGCATTATACACAGCAATCACATGTTGTGTACTTACTAAGTATGAGATACATTGCGTAATGAACAACACTAGCATAGAATATTATTCTTTTAGGTTCTGAGTGGAACATCGAACTTCAACAACACATCTCCATTTTATCCTGTTCTCTGTAGTCATTTTAAGCTGACTGCATAATTCCCATAACCTCTCATCTTCTCCTGAAAATATCTCCGTTCCATGCGCGAACATACACCCAAATCACTTCCCATTTGGGTCTTACTCAAGCAATAGCCTGGTGCACGATGTTACTCAACGATCTGCTTAGTGTATGTCCGATCAATCTCCATTTTCTTCTAAATATTTGTTGAGCAATGTATCCTTGAAGTTGATTTGTTCCCAGAGTTCTCTGTTTCTAATTCTTTCTGGCTGTCCACTTGATCTTCAGTATGGAGCGAAGACAGCTGTTGATGCTTTTTGTGATACGCCAAGTTTCTGACCAATACGGGAACAATGACTTAACATTAATACTGCAAATTCGATTTTTGTCTTTTATGCCGAATGTAGAAGATTTTCAAACTAATTCTACAGTAGCGAAAGTCTGCTTTGCCTTTCCAATCCTGGTTTTGACGTCCTCAACGAAGAGACAGAATGGTGTGGACATGTGAAGGCCTTCAGGAGGCCAGTCAGCCGACGTGTCTTCCCTCAATACCAGTGAAGAATCAATTTGTTTTTATATTTCTGTGGTGCTTTAAAGTTTCTGTCGTGATTAGACTGAT